CTCCACTGGGAGGCGGTCGTCTCTGAGCAGAAGGAGGCTCGGTGTCCCTGGTTTGTTCTGTTTTTAGAGCCATCTGGATCTCACATTTACCACACACACTGAACACACCACCAGCAGCATCACAGACTGTGCTGGGGTGACAAAAACACACCTTCAAACACACCTTCAAACACATGTCAGCTGAGACCAACAGACTCGTCTCTCGAATACTGCAGACCAAACTTCACTCTTCACGAAAAATGATATTTCTCTAAAACAGTTATTTTTCATGGATCCTTTTCACATAATTAACTGATTAGTATTAATAAATGATCACGTAAAACCTCCTTTGGACTCTTTACTCAAGCTACAAACAATCTCGCAATGATCTAAATTTCAAAAATCCTACATTTCTGTTTTGACAAATGCAACCGATATATTCTGGCTTTATGTTTTATTTGTGCAATCATAGAAGGTCAGTTACGCATCAAATTCTGAAGATGGAAAATCTTTTTATTTTTTTTATTTTTTGTGCAAGCACCAGTTAGACCCGCCCCCACAGGTCCCTGATTGGATCTAAAAATCCTAAATCCAGAGGCCCTTCACCATTGGTTCATCAACTATTTTCCTCCTGCAAATCTTACTGGTGATGCTTAATAGAAAAAGGAGGGACAAATACATAACTAAGATGTTCCTACAGGGTCAAAAATATGTATTATTTTAAAAAAATATATACAATGGAAGTTGCAGACATTGCCTTTAATGCCTAAGATTAAACAATGATCTTGTAATATTTCGTTGCACTCAGAAATTGCAATATATCACTAAATAGATGTTGTTTAAATACACCCATTGTGGTGCCATGTGCATGTGTAAGCCAGGTCCTGTCAGACCTCTGAAGCTAAGCAGGGCAGGACCTGGTTAGAACTGTAATGGGAGACCTCTAGAAACACCAAACTGTTGTTGTGTCCTTAGGCAAGACACCCAACATTGCCCAGAATGAGTCTGGTGTGTGTGTGTGTGTGTGTGTGAATGGTTGATGGTGGTGACAGAAGTGGTTGTCTCACTTCTGTCAGTGTGTCCCAGGGCAGCTGTGGCTACAGTAAAAGTTTATCATCACCATATATGAAGTCAATGTAAAGCGTCTTTAAGTGTCCAAAAAGCGCAATATATAAAAACATTACATTCTATTTCGAGTTTAGTTTTTTAAATCTTCACTTGAAACTCTGAAATAAAGTTTTTTTTTTTGCCTGACAAGAAATATGATGTCTGAAACAATAAATAGAATCACAGCAAAGCTTATTGGCTTTGAATCTGTCTATAACCCACAAAATAATGTGATGTAGAATAATGTAATCCATGTCATGCCATACCAGGTTAAATGTACTGTATAGCAACCAACATACTCTTCAAATAAACCAAATCTCAGGGCATTTCAGGGACAAGTCACCCCTCCCGTCTCCATAAGATTGGACCGGTCTTCTATCAAAACCGACTGGCAAAAAAACTTGACAATTATTTTTCAAAATATTTTAATATTTGTCCAGCCCCAGGTCCATGGTCATAGGGAGAGGGTCGATGGGTTGGTGGGTGGGGGGCATTTGAAAATAGCCTGTGTACAGCAACATATGACTCATGCTGACTCTTCCTACCATTGTCTCTGAGGGTATGTGTTCATTGTCAGAAACACCGACTATAGCTCACTGTTACCATATCCACACGGGATTTACAAAGTTTAGTCATAGCTTGGTGCTTCTCTGTCAATGGACACATGGGATTTGTGTGAGGAGATAATAAATTCATGTCAAATCGTGACCCATGCAACAGCAGCAGTAAGCCTTACCCTGTCCTTCACTATCAGACACTTTGCAAAAGGGGGAGACACACAATGGACACAACGTTAGTCAAAAAAGACCACACCAGAGAGAACACACTCCAACACATGAAAAACTCAATCAATATGTAGGCTATTGAAGCTCAATGGCTATTAGATTTTTAGGATAAGGATTTTAGAAGTGTGAGATGAGTAGAATGAGCCAGCACTCCCTCTAGTGGTGGAGGTGGAAGATTACATTCTGTTTCTAGACACAACTATATTATATACTATATATTTTGGACGTGATTTTTTTTTCCCCTTTCAGAAGTCTATAGGAAAGAAATAACCTAAATAATACATTTTGAATTGTGGACAATGTTGAAGTAGGGTTAGGGTCCCTCCATGTGGTCCTCATCCAGCCTTGTGAAATATATGGTGCTTTAACCATATATTTCAAAAGGCTGGATGAGGACCACATGGGAGGAATGTGAGACAGTTTGAGATAATCAGAAAACATGCCTTTATCTGTAAAAAAAAGTGTTATTCAACGGTTTTGTTGTTTTGTGTGTATACCTACCAGTATCCATGTGTCGTCACACACACATGTATATTTATGTCATTGTGAAAATGTGTAATAAGTAGAATAACGTTGGATTCCAGTTATTCTAGCTCCTTTTTAGCTGACTCAAAAGGAAATGTTTTTAATTACTGTTCCATAGGGTGGTCAAAAGCTAGAAACTAGTTTGTGAAAGACTCTATACTACAGATAATTACATAAACAGGACCAGATTCATCATTTCTGGAGCAAACAGAGCCACTTTTTCCCCACTGGGTTTTTAAGTTGCTCCTTGCCAATGCATGACAGTGATGCTCCGGGACATTCAAGGACATTTATGGACATTGATTAACATTTGTGGACGATGGCAGTTATGATTTAGGGCAGTTGTGATATAGGACCCAAACTTGAATAACACCTTATGGCTCCAGAAAAAGTAGTTAATTTTGACTTTAAAAACACAATCAATTGTCTAGAGAATTTATAAATCGCCATGGTATCAGCATTTGTATTGAGTATTTTATTTTCTATTATTGAAAGTGAATTATATATGTAGATTTGTAGCAACACCGGTGGTCAGTCTCCATTCCCACCCTCATATGGTCATCAGCGTATAAAGACAAGATCGCAGCCTCCAAAAGTCCAACCCAGAGAGAAAAGCAAGAAAAATGGATTGATGAAAAAAATGATTGGATTGCAGACTTCATTTTTCTGTCATAGGAAACTAATAGAAGACTTAATATTGTTTTCCCAAATTGGTAGAAAGTTGTGTTTTGTTTTTGACTATATGCACCGCTTGAGAAAATGTTATGCACCTGAAAAGAACTAGAGTATTTTAACTTAAGCTTTTTGAAGGGCCCTCCATTCAGCCACTGGCTCTGCTCCAATCTCCTTCCTCTTTACTGCTTATGACATGACACATCTGAACAGAAGTCAAAAACACACAGCAAAAAGCCAGAGGACAAAAAGCCTCTGATCCCGATTGGAACGCAGCCAGTGTTGTTAGACTTGGCACAGTCTCATACACACACACACATACACACACACACACACACACACAAGCTCACACACACTGCAAAATATGATATAATATTAGGTAATAATTGCTTGAGTCAAGTGTTTTCATCTTGATTTGAGCACATTCTGACTGTCTTAAAACAGGACTTGCCAACTTATCCACACGAAGACAAAATGCTTATAATTTCAGAAACTTTTTCTGTAAACACGGAGTTAGCTCAGTAAATGTGTGCGTCCATATGAATGTAGTCAATACGCCTGAAACTATGCCAGACCTGTTGGTGGCGCTGTGACGCAATGACGGGATCAAGCCCAAACTTCCGTGGGCATGCGCAGAATTTTGTAAACAGACAACATGGCGAGTGGGGGAGCTGGTACTACATTAGTATGGACGGACGATGAGGTTGAACTGTTGCTTCGGGTCACACTGGATTACAAAACCAACAAGCTACATTGTTGTTGTCATTATTTTCTGAGTGCGGCGCATGCGTGCTTTAACAAGAGGCGGGGCGATGACGCAAGCGTCTCAGATACATTGCGGAGAGGCAGTAACCACGAAGCGGCATATACGGAGTTTTGAAATCTTTCCACTCTGGGACCTACTTTCAAAAATGTTCGTTTACACCCCCCCAAAACGCCGGCCTCGTATGGACGATACACTGGATTGATAAAGAATTTTTGCGTTTAGGCCTGAGCTTGACTTCGTGTGGACAGGTAGTCTTTCTTCAATAACTGTTGCTTTAGGCCCTGTCCACACGAAGTCAAGCTCAGGCCTAAACGCAAAAATACTTTATCAATCCAGTGTATCGTCTATACGAGGCCGGCGTTTTGGGGGGGTGTAAACGAACATTTTTGAAACTAGGTCCCAGAGTGGAAAGATTTCAAAACTCCGTATATGCCGCTCCGTGGTTACTGCCTCTCCGCAATGTATCTGAGACGCTTGCGTCATCGCCCCGCCTCTTGTTAAAGCACGCATGCGCCGCACTCAGAAAATAATGACAACAACAATGTAGCTTGTTGGTTTTGTAATCCAGTGCGACCCGAAGCAACAGTTCAACCTCATCGTCCGACCATACTAATGTAGTACCAGCTCCCCCACTCGCCATGTTGTCTGTTTACAAAATTCCGCGCATGCCCACGGAAGTTTGGGCTTGATCCCGTCATTGCGTCACAGCGCCACCAACAGGTCTGGCATAGTTTCACAGCGTTTTCAGGCGTATTGACTACATTCATATGGACGCACACATTTACTGAGCTAACTCCGTGTTTACAGAAAAAAGTTTCTGAAATTATAAGCGTTTTGTCTTCGTGTGGATATAGCCTTATTTTACTCATTCCAAGGGAGACATTTCTTGTTTCTTTTTCACATAATTTTGCTTGTCTCATTGGCAAATCTTGTTTAAAGGCAGTCAAAGTGTGTCAAATTAAGATACATTTAGCAGAATTTGAAGCAATTTTTGACATATTTTTCATCACTTTTTGCCGTGCACACACACTCACGCAAACATACACACACACACACAGGCTCACACACAAGCTTATGCATACACACACCCACAAGCACACACACTGGCTCACGCATACACACACACATAGCACGGCACGAAGAAAACACCAAAAATAGATGCTAACCACTTTGTCCTCCTTTGTGGCATGCAGTCCAGGTCGCAGTCAGAAAAGTGAGGAAGAGGAGGAAGGAGGGGAGATAGAGAAAGCAAAGAGAGATGCAGATGCAGGGAGGATGGACAAAAAAACAGGTGAAAAGGAAAAGAAAAAGAAGTGCAATCAGTTGGTTAATTACATTGTGCAGACTTGAACAGAATTTTAAATTAGACGTCTACACGCAGGGAGAGGGCTGCAGCGGCATGCACGGCCAGCGATGACGTCAGTGTGACATCACCAGGGGTGAGCTCATTCAAATGGGACAAAAAGTAAGATGAAAGATGTCTATTTCTGTCAGGGCAATTGTGTTGGCATTGCCTTTGTACAATAGGGAAGAAGGGCGAGATCATGTTTGAAAGGTATCATTGAGTTGAGCTTCGTTATGACAAAAATCATAATCAAGAATACATATTTAAAACATTTATCTATACCGTTATAAATGTACAGTGCTATGGTATTGTATGTGTAGATGTACTGTATATATATATAAGTGTACTGTATATAAACGGATAAGAGAGTCTACGTATAGAAGCACACAATGTTGGGGAGCCATTACGTATTCAGAATACTCTGTACGAGTAACTGTATTCTCTTAGAATACAGTTACTTTATGAAAACCACAGGAATACATGCTTTCTCACATTACATTTTAAGGTTACAAAATAAAGAACATCTTAAAGTGAAGATTCTATTTTTTTTGGTTGTTCAATGGCTGCTGTTGAAGTACTTTGACTTGTTTTACAAAACTAAACAATAAATTACTGAATAATTAAAGGACATGTTTTATCTATTTAAAGGTTAGGGTTGTGGTTCAAAAGGTTTTGAAATTTACCTTTGTAAGTTTTGTAAATAAAAATTAATTCACCATAAATATGAAATAAATAATAATCAAAAGTATAAAGACAAGTATTTGGAATACAGGTACTACCTTTTCCAAAGTCGTAAGGAATAATAAGAAGTAATAAGTAAGTAAGGAGTACATTTTCAAAGTATTCTCCCCAACACTGGAAGCACTTATATATTAGTATTTCTCATTCTTTCAACATACCACTAAAATACTGCTGCACTGTTTTGTTATGGATCCAGGCAATATCTGTAATATCTGTAATATCTGTAATACGCGTGAATGTAGTGAATTGCCCAGCATTACTCAGGAGCAGGTGTGTGCTCTGATGTTTCTGATTGTTCCCATGACTGCTCATATATCAAACAGGCGAAGTCTGCTTGCACAGAAAAACCAAGCATAAAAGAATAAAAATGCAGAGACAGACAAAAGAGTGACACATGCATGAGATGCCACATTTACATAGACCCAGGATCGTCTTTCATTGTGGTCGTTTCTCACTTTTTTAGGGACAATTAAAGGCCCTGTACCCAAATTTATCATAAAGTAACAAAAAACAGAGCTAGTTTATTTCAGACAATTTGCAGCAAAACTCAGTGGTCTAATAAAGTCTTTACAACTAAAATCATACTGTTGTTGTTGTCATTCGGATTACTGATGCAAAACGACCTGCTGGCCACCCAAACGAGAGCCTCATTTCTCCTTCCTAATTGGACGTCATGTTATCATATTTTTAGGCAACTGAATAACACTTGTATATAGTAATTTTTATTTATTTATTTGTCTATAACTTATTTGCTCCGACACCAAAGCAGTTTCCTGGTTTGTGACTTCCTGTAACTCACATTGATCTTTATTTGTTTGAAAATTGTGCCACACTTTATATATTGCTGCTAACTTTGTATTGAACAGTGTTTTAATATGTAAGTTATATGATTGTTTTGTCAAGGACTACAGACGGAAAGTAGCGTTGGTGTTTAATCTGATGCAGTCATCTTTTTAATGAACTGCAACCATCCTTTCTTATCATTTCCCCATTTTGGACCAATGTGTTTTTATTATTGCTTTTCTTATATTTGAACTGTTTGATTCTCTGATCTGTGTTGGCGAATTCAACAGTTTTGTAAAGTCTTCGAGATATCTACTGTTGTGATTTAGGGCTATACAAAAATACATTGAACTGAATTAAAGTCCAGGGTCTGCGGTTACACCTGTATGTCTGTCTGCTTGACACTTCTCTTAAGACGCACTAATTACAAGTTCCTGGTCCTGGTCTATACGAGCTGTGCCTACATTTGGTCGCAGCGTGATCCGAAGGCGGTGGATCCTGAACAGATTGGGCAGCAGCAGGCCACGGTGGAGGTTAGAGTCAGGTATGAGAGAGTGAGGGGCTGGAGAGGAGCCCAGAGAGAGAGGCGGGCCTAAAATAACACCAACACACGGCTTTATGGACACCTGCCACACAAGACAAGCTGCCGCCGGGTGGAAGTACTCTCATCTACCGGAAAGAAAGAAAGACAGAAAGGATAGTAAACTAATCCTAGTTTTGCTTTTTGAGCCTCTACTGTCTACTGAGTGTTACAAACTACACTTTGTTTAAGCATTTGGGGACATTTTTTCCAAAAGTCCTGCCTTTCAAAAATAGACTGTAAATATTAACAAACGTAGTCAGGCCTATCTCTGCCGGTGAAACTAATGTGTCTTCACTTTTGGCTTCAATGGGGCTTTTAGCAGGCCCCAGCCCCATTCATTTGGCGAGTGCCTTCTGAGATGCCACAGAGGCAAAACTAGACTCGTCAAAAAATGTTACCCCCCTCAGCATCGACACACATCTGGAATGTAGCTTTGGGCCAAGAGATGCTAAAGTTGAGCCAAAAACTAATTCCTACAAGAGCAGACAATACTTTAACAAATGCCTCTTTTTGATCTATAGTTGGGTTATATATCAGCATGTATACCCGATATTGTTCCATGTATTTTAGAAATACAATTTTGTTTAGGTATTTAGGATAACTTTTCCGGAAGTCCTGCCCCTCAACAGAAAAGTTAGGTCCTTGCCCACAGGATCACCCCAGTTTTGTGTCAGCGCTCTTCTGTCTCTCACCTCTTCTCAGCTCCCCATTATTGGCATGAAACATCCCATTTTGAATTAGTGCCAACATTTCCCTTTATACCTTTTAAATATGTCCCTAATCAAGCATGTTCTAAGCAGATATTTTGCGTTTTAAATTGCTTTTTTAAATCTGATTCTCCAGAATTTTATTGTTCGAGAAACTGCAAGTGCAATGTCCATGCGGTAAACTAGGGCTATGTTGGTGTCATAAAGTCGTGGATAGGCTTCTCCATGCACTTCTGTGAATAATTAAGATTTGAGGTGTGTCACAAGGTAAGGAACAGACTTAAGACAGCTGCAAATTGTAAAAACTAAACATTTACTAATTCTGCTTTTAAGATATAAACTTGGGTACAGACTCTTCAAGTCCACGTGGCCTGCTCTCCAGCCTCCAGACAGGTCAAACTACTATGCTGTTACAAAAGATAAGTCATTTAGTCACTATGATAATGGCGTTGGATGCTGCATGGATAAACTGTTGCCTATCCTAAGAAAAACACCCCTAATGCTAACGGGGCGAACAGTAGCACCCACGGTCCCTTAAGAGCCAATGTCGTGGTCCGAAAACAAAAGTAGTCGTATCAGAGTAGTAGACTTCAGTGCATCTTAAGTGACTATTTAAGAAAGACTACAATAACGCTCTACAGCAGCCATTTCTAACTCAGGCCCGGGGGCTAAATCCGGCCCGCAAGACTATTTTTAGTGGCCCCTAAAGTGATTTTCAATTATTTGTATTAACTTGCAGCTTTTTGATGGTAATGGGACACCAAAGCATGTATCCCATTACCTATGTAATGTTCTCTATTTTCTCAGGAAAACCACCACATTTGAGTCAAATATAAAACAACGTGTTTAACTTTATATTTGATACAGTTTTGATTCAATCTAAACAATAGACACATTTTGTTTTCAGAAAAAATCAACCAGAAAACAACAATGAATCTCATGTCAAATAAAAGTCAAAATACTGTCATAATGTAAAAACAATTAAAGAAAAGAACATTCCCACTCGCCCTACTATTCCTCGACCAGTTCCTATTTTCATGATTCGGCCCTAGGAACCAAAATGAGTTTGACACTACTGCTCTACAGGATCTATGGTTCCAGCCAGGCGGTTCTTCCAATACACTTTGCACTTGAGACAAAGTGTTGAGGAGGTGCAGACAGAGACAGAAGCAGGGGGCGTGAGAGCAGAGGAGCAAAGGCAGAGACTTACATTGTTGGAGCGCAGCGAGACACGGCCGCCACAGCGAGCGCAGAACTTGGTCTGGCAGTAGGAGCAGAGGTGTCCGCAGCCGTTGGCGAACTTGGTTTTCCGGCAGATTCCGCAGGTGGGAGCGTCGTCTTTCTGCTGCGTGGGCTGCCTCCTGGTGTCCGCCCCGATGCGCCGCACTTCCTGTTTGTAGCTCTCAAACTGCTGGTGCAGCGTCCTGCGGGAGAGGGACAGAATCTAATTTATTTATATGGCACAGTTTATAGACAAGACAAACCAGTAAACCCTTTAAAAACACAAAGGACCACAACAAATTAAACTGGGTCTTACAAGACTTAAAAAACGTAGAAATTATGTTTGACGTAGGGGGCGCTGTCTATAGGTCTTTTGTGTGATTAAAGTGATTGTCTGGAGTTTGTCAGAAAGAGAGACAGAGAGGTACTAGATTTGAAAATAATGACGCAAGCTCCCTCCCCCTTCCTTTCTGATTGGTCTACACCTACGTTTTCGTAACACTTTGAAATGTTAATCGGAGAACACATTATACATATATATTATTAATTCACATGCACGGAGGTTTTCAGAACTATTTGTGAACGTTTTAATAAAAAAATTATGTTTTTATGCACAAAAAAAGCGATCGCGGCAAACCAGGAAGTGCTATTATCATGGATTGCACATTATAGAACACACCTGCAGAGGATCTGATTATGGATATAGGTTCAGTATATACACAAGTACCTCAGCGCGGATGTTCAGAATTCTTTGTTCAGTTTTCATGTGGTTCCAGAGCCTAATAGAGGCTTGATTCGAAGGCTCCGTGAAAACAAACAACTGCGCATGCGCGCAGCTGCGCCGATGATTGACAGCCCTTGGCATGACTCGATTGGTTAACGTGGACGGCACCGTGGATTCGGGGCATAGCTAAGAGAAGGGAAGGCGGGACTTGCCCGTAATATTAGAATCAATAAAAGGACCGATTTCATATCAACATTTAAGGCCAGGAGGTCAATTTAACACATTTCCTAAAATTTGTAATTCATTTAGAGTCACAGACTATCACTTTAATGACCTTATGCCGGTTTTGATTTATTTAGAAATACAGGTTTAATACCATTTTTTATTAGAATAGAACTACTAAAGGTTTCAAAATCAGTTGTTGTTTTTTTTGTCTGATCCCCCCAAATCGAAATAACCCCATAGCAACGCCCTTAGAGACGAAAAAACTTCACAGCCCTTGGTGACGTCAGAGTGGGTACGTTTCAACGCTGTAAGTTGATTACAATTTGGTATTCGTTCTTTTTTCGCGGATATTCAAGATGACAAGGTCGTGTACAGCAAGTATGATATTACTGCTAGATTGTAGCACTCTGTTGGCACTGAGATAGTCCAGTGGTTGTGTTGATGCACTGTCACTCCAGATACTGGGGTTCAAATCCCACCTCAGTCACATTTTCACTCTCAAAATGGCAATTTATGTGTAGTGAGCAATTGTCACCTGTAGAGTGCAGTATTGTGTTGGGCCTCAGTGGAGAGAAGAGAGAAAAAGGCAGTCCCTGTGGCATAGATCCATGGTTTTCAATGCATGGGCGTTACCCGCTGTGACGTCACACACAGGTTAGAGCATAGACAACTTAAATTCATGAAAAACACATTCTTTTTATAAAATATAGGATTTTTTTTGCCGGAATCTATTTCAGATCGACATTGTCATGCAATTTTGATATCCACTTTTTTTTTTTTTTTTACCCGGCATAAGGTCTTTAATGTGGTTTTTGTGTGAACTGCTATAAGGAATTTTGTTCTTGGATGATAAATTGTCCATGATCTAATGATGAAGTGATAAAACACATTCCTGAGGAGCAGGGTATCCAACTTTTTCCAGAGGGCTGCAATTTTATTGGGCTACAGCCTATGGGCCGTATCGCAGTCATTCTGAATGTGTTCATAAAATCAAACAACCAAACAAATATGGATCCAGTTTTAGTACAAACCAGATGTTTTTAACAAACTAATAATTTAACCAGTAGTTAAGATTAATCCATCAAATAAATCCCATTTACTAAGAATAGACCCGAGCATAACTCAGGACTAAACATTGCATTGTGTTGATCTATAAATTAACTTAACCAGAGTAGACAATAAAGGCATCCTATTAGAATGACTTTAAAACAAATGCATGTTTCTCAAAGTTGAAATGAACTAGCAAATGAAAAATAAATAAGTACAAAGCATTTTAAAGACGACATTATGCAGAAGGCCTTTTCAAACACAGAAGCACGATATTCCAGATTTCGGCTGCACTGTAACAATATTTGACAAATTGGGTTTATTTCCAGTACTTCCAGCACTATACAGTCAACTACTGCTCAAGTAGATCAAAAGTAAGTTCCAATCTTGACCAAGTTTGATTATTAGACAGTATTTCTCACTCAGATCACAACAGACGTGGCGACACAGCTCTCATTAGAGACAAACCCCACTCTCTTTGATTCACTTCAGCCACAGCGCCAGGTCCAAAAGGCCAACGCACGACTGGATGTCTTGCAATAACAACCGGGAAAGCAGAAGATTTATGAATAACTGAATAAACATGAAACAACCTGGCACCAAAATAACCAACAATTAGAGAATAAGTCCAGCGCTGCTTTTCAAAACACTGAGGCACAATTAAGTCACATTTTCTCTGTTTTTCCTCTTCCTAGAAATAACCACAGTGTGAATTTCAAATCAGCCCACGTGAAAACACTGAGTAACAGAGATGTCACAGAAAAGGCATTCGCATTTTAGCATGTCGAGCTCTACAGAGACTAGCATGTCATAAAACCCAAAACAGATTGGTTCCATCACTAGTTTCTGCTGTTGCTTATTATTACTATTGTTAGCTTTTTAGAATTATCCATTTTATTTTGTGTTTTTGCTGCTACTGGACACCTGAATCTCTCCTACGAGGATCATCAAAGTACTGTATCTATCTATCTATCTAGTTTTGACATGTAGGTAGGTTTGGCTTCAGTCGTATTATTAGATCTTTCCTCATCAGCTCTCACTCAGATCAAAGCGTAAAATAGAAACTTGCAGGACTTTTTTCACACTATACAGAAGATAAAATGTCAGGTAATAAGATAAAGACAACCTGTTGTGTCTGATTTGTTCAAAAATGCATCTTTTTATAATCTTTCTGCTGGGACAAACAAAATGTATTGTTTGTGAAATACCGAGCGAGGTATCCAACACTAAAGTCGCCCACTTCCCTTTATCTGTGAAAGCTGATTCAGATTGGGTAAATACTGTAAATTCCGGACTGTACAGTAAGCCACAGCTTTTTTCCAACACTTTGAATGATGAGGCTTTTTTTTGTTTCCTGTGGCACCAAAACCATTTTGCCAATGAACAGTAGACCAACAGACTTGATGAGTAGTTCAGAGGTCCAATTTAATTGTATGAAATGTCAATCAGTCGTTTGCACTCATCCTGAAAATACTGGAAGGAAACAAACGTACGGTAAATTTAACGGTTACAAGCACCAGAAAAAAAAAAACAGTAATAAATAACAAGCAGATTGAATACAGTTGAATACAATTCTCACAAATAATATTTTTTGCAAATATCTCATAAAATAAATAGTTTTTGGTTCTCTGTATAGACACGAAAGTGAAAAGAGACCAGTAGATTGAGGATTAAGAACAGCAGGTGACTGACTTCTTACAGGAAAAAGACATGATGGAAGTTTTTGAGCTACACTTTTGAATATTACAACGTGTGAAAGGTAAGGCTCATAATCTGGTGTGGCTTGTACAAGTAAAAAATTCACTTTCTTTCTAAAAATTAGAGCCTGCGGCTTTTAATCAGGTGCATCTTATCGTCCGGATAATACGGTGAACGCATCGCTATAATCAAAAACAGTTTTTAACATACATATACCATGTCCCAGATCATCACTGTCCTTAGACCCAACTAAAAAACCCAGTGGGAACAAAGTGAGAAACCTTGAGCAACCACTGACAGAGGCGATAGATCCAGACTCTCTCCTTAAAAGGTTTTAACAATGACTGCAGGATGCTGGATGCAGAAGATGCATGAGTAAAGACTTTGACCATCTGCTAAAACAAATGCCACTTCCTTTGTCGTCAACACTTTTTGGCACATATTTTGGAGTCTGTATAATCCACTGCAAAATGACACTGTAGATTCCATGTGTTTGAGCAATTAGAACAATAAAATACAGAGACAATGAAAAAAAACATCCCTTCACATTATCTGAGCTTACTTACATGTGACCCAGTTTTCACACCACAACAGAAATTCTAGACCTGGTCAGTGTACATACTGCTTGTTGAAATAACAATGAAATTAGCATAGAGCAAAAATAGCGAAAAGTCCTTCACCTGGATCGGCTGAACTGGGACAAACTCCCCACTTCACAAAACTCCTTCTCCTCAAATCCATGATCACATGACAACCTCCTGCGACGCTGCGAAAAACTAAAACTATATCTCTCGTCCACCATGACTAAATCAAAAACATGTATTCATAATTTCTTAAAAAAGAATAGAAATCGACCATAAATGTTGAAGGCAAACTAGAAAGTGTCTTCCCCAGAGAAGCAGTGAGGACAGACTGGTCCCACGCAGGGAGGTGACGCGGTGACTGGCCAAAGCAGAAGCCGGTTCGACCAATCAGAGGCTGAGAAAGGACTTGATTCATAATTACACTGTGTCTTCAGGGATGCCAGAAATGGTCCTCTTAGTCACCGCTCCGTTCTCGCAGCTATTGTTTTGGTTACAGACTCACAAATGGACGGAAATCAAAGTGTAATCTCCGCTCAACTTTTTTTTCTATTCTTGCTTGTTTCCTTTTATGCATCACTGAGGCGACTTCTCTCTCGGCCTCAATTCGTTTTTCTTATAGACTGCAAAGAAGTTATGAAAAGTAAGTACTAAATTGCTCAAATTTGGAAAAAGTTATCTTAATTTGAGCACATTTTGCCTGCCTTAAAACAAGATTTGCCAATGGGACAAAGCAAAATTATCTTGTTTTAAAAAGAAAAGCAATATTTATTGACATAAGACTAAAAGGCCTTGTCCCATTGGAAAATATTGTTTTAAAAGAGACTCAAATTAAGATAAGAAGCACTTGATTGAAGCATCTATTCCCACATATTTTATAATGTTTATGTAATGAGGCTCAAGCCAACCCAACAAGATGCAATATGGAACTTGTATGAAGTGTATGTTTATTTTATGCAAATTTTGTTCACATTTGGACAGTGGAAAATACATCTATCAATGTGGTTGTCCAATGTAGGCAAATTTGCATCTGTCTCATAAAAAAAAAAATCTTTTTATTGTCAGGTGTATTGCACTAACCTGGTCGGTTGGAGGGGTTAACTCCTTTTGCAGATTGAAACGACTGGATCTGAGTTTACCGTGACGTTTGTAATACGCCCGAGTGTGTTGTTAGCGTTTAGCATTTAGCCTAGCCATCTCCTTTGCCACTAACGGAGCCCGTGGGGAGTAGCGCCACAATCTTTGCCAGCGATTAAACTTGCTAAACATTCCTCTTGCTCCGGCTTCAATTTCTTGATAGAACCAGACCGGATTACTTTACTATCGCATTCTTCGCCATTGCCAAACTACAACCTGCCCGTTCGATGCAAACTCTTGACATCACCGACAACTAACATTAACACCCGCCTCCCGCGCTCGCTGATTGGTCGGATGGAATTCAACCGATTGTAATCGCAAACACAGGGACCAGACCCAGACGTTACATGCAGGATATGATGATTGAGCGGAGTGTACAAAAATGTATTGACAGAACTATGAGCTAATTTTCTTCCACAGTCCCAGAACGGAGGCCGAGTTACAGCAGGTTTATCAAAGGGCAAAAAATTAACAAATGACGAGAATTGCCTTGTTAGCATTTAAAATACAATCGGTAGGATGATGTCAAGAGGGAATACAAACCAGACACAAGGCACAAAAAAAACATTTAAAACACACAAAAACATAAAAGGAAAGTGATTTATAATAGTTAAATATGTAAAATAAAAAAATTAGGATTTGCCAGATAGGATTTCTCTATCTTTCATGAATAATGTAATTGTTGAATCTCAAAAATATATTGATTATATTGAATTGGTGTTTAAATATGGGGTAAGGTTACTGTCAATAAAGACGTGCATGTCTAAAAAAATGCGGGCATATTTATTGGTATTTGTGCAAAAAAATATTTTATTAATTCATGATTAAGATAATACAAACTAAAAATACATGGAATTTCGTAATTAAGAATAAAAAAATATAAAACTGTATGTGTGATTTTGTTTTTGTGAATGCAATTTTTTTTGTGCTTGCATTTTCTTTTTGAGAATACGAATTTCAGCAGTGAGCAAACTGTCAATATGACGTCACTGCTCACAGACATTAACAATCGAGCCTGCACAGAGTCGATCAACTTCATTGCCCCAAAACTAAACATGGCAGAGGGACACAACATAAATAACGTGGCTCAAAATCAGGTATATAACTATGTTTTATCATTTTGGTCGTAAATGAATGTGTAAGAAATATTAATTCCATAAATGTGTTCATGAGAAGATGTTTCTTGTCCCTCTAAAGGTTTTTTGGCAGTGTTGTTAGCTCCAATGCTAGTGTTATTTTTTTATCCTTATATTGTTTTATTCTACAGAAAATAATGCATTTATTTTAGTCTAAACAACAGACTAACTAGCGTTACTGAACTAGTGAGTAAAAGTAATGTGTCAAATGTACAAATATAAGCTACGTCTAACAACCGAGGATGAGTAAAGCACGGAGGTGTTCTTCATACTGCTCAGGGGCAGTAACAGCGTGAACTATGAATAATCTGGAGGGTTGGGGCTGGTATCAACACTTTAACCACATTGATTCGGGGCCAAGGCCTCATCAAATGTAAATGCTAAGAATGTAAAAATGTTGGTTTTAAAATAACATGGTAAGCTGTAAAACTAGCCTTGAAGCTAGTGTTAACTAAACACTGCCTAAAAAAACGTTTCTAGAGGGACAAGAAACATCTTATGAACACATTTTATGGAATTAATATTTCTTACACATTTATTTACGACCAAAATGATCAAATAGTTATTTACCTGATTTTTAGCGAAATTGTTAATGTTGTTGCCCTCTGCCATGATCAACTCTGCGCAGGCTCGATTGTTATTGTCTGTGAGCAGTGACGTCATATTGACAGTTTGCTCACTGCTGAAATTCGTATTCTCAAAAAGAAAATGCAAGCACACAAAAATTCGCATTCACAAAAACAAAATCACACATACAGTTTTATATTTTTTTATTCTTAATTACGAAATTCCATGTATTTTTAGTTTGTATTATCTTAATCATGAATTAATAAAATATTTTTTTGCACAAATACCAATAAATATGCACGCATTTTTTTTTAGACATGCACGTCTTTATTGACAGTAACCTTACCCCATATTTAAAGCTTTGCCTTGTGCACACTTTTAAGTTTTTTTGTTTTCTCACAAATCTGGACCTGAGGCCACATGAGCTGTAAATATAACATTGGCCAGAACTATAGTCCCAAAGTGGGGGTCGTGGGACACAATGATGCTAACTACATGTGTCAACTCATATGCAATAAAAACACAACAGGACTGAGTGGGGGATGAGGGGAAAGTTGAGTTTTGAATGAAGAATACTCAATCATGCATGAATTGTACAACAAAGAGAACAGGAAGAGTCATATTTTGTGAATAAATTAGACCATAACATGCAGCCGTAATTGTATTTGGAAGATATTTAAAAATTCGGAGTCACTGTTTGATGCTTTAGGCTGAGACATGATTGGTCGAGAAATAATGTTTTCATGTTGTTTTTTTACCCAAATAATACATGCATATAAAAACTAGTTACAGAACTAGTTTTCATATTAGATCAGTTTTGAGAGTGAGGAACTACTATTTATAGCTGTTGTTGTCCACTGTCGGTCAATTAGTCAAACAAAGACAAACAAAAAAGGGTGTCAAAATTGTCAAATTGTCCTCACAAAACGTGAATGTAATGAACTATTTAGCCATACAATAACTATTCACAAATATTTTGTTATTAATAGAAAATATTAGCCTGGAAAACCCAGGTATGTTTGCATGGATTTGGGAACCGATCACAGAGCGGGGAGGGATGATGATGACGCACTATTGGACGGACAGACGCTTGTAGTGTGTTTACAGATCCAGCAGATGGCAGCGAACACGCTCTTCCCTCATGTTTAACTTGCGTAAACTGCATTAATCCTTCAGCATCATTAAATACGCTATACCCAATTTATTTGCTAATGAGTTCATAAAATGTGTATTACTACATACAAGTTGTATTAAAATCCGTAATTTAATTGAAAAATTGAGCTCATCGATTCATTAAGGCCGTAAAAAGTGATGAGTAGAAACATAGCATGACACTCGCTCTCCTCCAATCACAGAACGAGGAGTAGTCCTGTTACGAACAGGCTGCTTCCTCTAGCTTCCACAGGGCAGGTAAACACAGCAGCATATTAGCAGAAAGAGGCTAACTTCTCTGGCTGAACCTGCAGACACAGCAAAACAGCCCAAACAACAGTGAGGAAGAGAAGAGGGTAATAAAGCGAAAAAATGATCCGAGAAGAAATCAAGCCCGATTGAACATAGCTAGCTTACATCGTATCCTCTGGAGAGACCTGAGGAACCGCCTCTGACTACATTTGGACACAAAAATAGTGGTAATATTTCAGTTTTATATTTTGTTAGCAGTGCGTTGCTTTGGTACGATTTCATCAGTGATTGTTGTACAGCTTATGAGAAGTTGCGCCAATGTTCGCAAATAAACCAAGACGGCTCCGTGGGATGAGAGCGTAGGGGGAATGAGAAGCCTGTGAGCGAGGTGAGGGGCGGTGCTAAACATGAAAAAAAAAAACTTGCCAAAACGGGTATAGCTCCTTTAAATAAACATTATTTGTTTTGCTTTTTATTTTTATTTCTGTCGTACGAAAATAGTTATCAGATAGAATTGATAAAAGTGAAGCATTCGTAGATATGGACAATCGTAAAGTGCACCATGTCTGCTGTTTGCCAGGTTTCCATATTATGTGGTGCATTCATCTGTATGAAAAGCACTTCTAAATAATATATAATTGATGATTTATTAACTATTTCAACATTTGGTCGACCAAAAGAACATGATTAACTAAATGACTAAATATTGACAGTGATAATATTATTGCAATTCTTGTGGTTTGAAAGAATTGAGGAATTTTTTAGGATCATGCCTGGATATTTTGGAGTTAGAGTGAAGCGCAGATAATCTCTTAATCTATCTGAGCCAATAAAAAAAACGAACTTTGAACTAATAACATGGGACCTCTAAGAAAATCCAAGCTATAGCAAACAAAAACAGACTTCTGAAGGCTAAACACACAGCTTAATCCAAATGGAAAAACATGGCTCTGGGGCTGCGGCTACGTCACTCCGGCGCCCTTTGACTCCGCACCACCATCCATCCATCATTACCACCCAGGACAGCGCCGTGGGACCAGCTGTCAGAGCCTCCGTCATGGCGGGGCATCCAGGTACCAGCTGTTCCCCCTCTGCTGCTGTCACACGGGAGCCGAGAGTGTGGAGCTATTTTAATGCAAACGTCTTTATTGTGTACTGGGATTTTCAGCAGTACTTGGGTCAGACCAGGGGTGGCAGACTATAGTTCCAGAGTCACATGTTACAGTACATTCTACAGTCACAGAGCCACAGAAAAAAAGAGACTGAAAGTGAAATGGATTTTATGAATTGGTATTAGTATTTATATATTTATTGATATCATCGACTCGCGGAGCTACATGTTTACTTTTGAGGGAATTATACGTAACTGCAGCTGCTGTGGTTTGTTCCAATGACAATCTGCATAGTATTTGTGCAATGATAATAAACTATTTGTCCATCCGTCCGTCTATCTATCTATCTACAGTATCTATCTATCTAAGCCATTGGTCCATAATCCGCTCCTTATGGACCAATGGCTCTATGTGTTTTTATTGTTGCATTTCCTGTTTGATTCTCTGATCTGTCTGAAGTTCCGACATAACGACTGCTGTGATTCAGGACAATACAAAAACAAATTGAATGGAATTGAATTAAGGTACAGCCGCTCACCAAACAATTCATAAACCGGGTCACTGGACCGGCACAAGCAAACTATAGGGTCCACTGTGGCCAGATGCATTAAAGCTGGAGTCAACTAACTATATGTTTGTTGCATTAGTCCCAAACCAGACCACAACAATAATATCTTTTTCTATTAGCAAACATTTTATTTTTTACTGAGAGCTGATTGGCTGAGTGAGAGTGGTCGTCTCTTTTTCCCTTTTCTGTCTTAAAAATGTAACCTAAAGCTGTGACAGAGGCCAAAAATACATGCATGTGAGAACTCGTGATGAAAGCAAACTGTTTTGAGAGCAATAGAACGGATTTATTCCAGTTATTATTTCTATTTCTTAACAAAAAACATTGAATTAGTCTTAATTTTACCCAGCGCTATGGATTCTGTGAATTATATCATTAACACAATATTTCCTTCTCATATTGTGTTGCAGTACAAAATCAATGGTTAAATAACATTCTAAAAATAAACATAAAAACAAATAATAAATGAATATAAAAATTAAGAGCAGAAAACCCAAAGTCTGTGACGTAAGGACAGCCGTGTTCACTCCACCGTGCTCTCATCAGTTACATGCCCAAGCCCCCTGCGTTCCCAGAGGCCACCACCAGGGGTCAGGTCACCAGCCTGGACTGCAGTGGCTCAACCCAAAATATTGTACCAAAAACAGACGCGCTTTTTTCACTCATTTCAAACTGAGCAGAATGTCAAACCGTGTTGCTGTAATGACCACGTTGGCCACTAGGGGGAGAAGGACATTCTTGTTTTCTGCATTTTGACACATCCTTCCAATCATGTCAACAGATCAATAAATATATTTGATTCAGCTCAAGCAAGAGTACAAAAGCCAGGATCAAAAAGCAGACTTGGAGATTCTTTTCCCTGCGTTTAGATCGGTAACAGTCTTTCTGGAAATGTGACACAGGTTACTAATCTGTTTAAATCCAGTAAAAAAAAAAACACACAGTTATTTGCAGTTATGTGCATACAACTGAATAATTTCTTCTTTTTTTAATATACTATGATTCTTTGAGTGTCCTTTATCACATGAATTATGAGGATCTCTGGTCATGTCAAAGACTAGCACAACAACTAAAATAAAACAATTCTAACTTTGTACATTTCTCCGTTGTGAGATCAATACAGTCTATTTTATCTAATTTTATCTTATTCTATTTGATCTTATGTCCAGATGTAATAGTGGGGTTGGATTGGGGAGATTGGTCATACATGAACATACAATATTAAGGCTTAAAGCTGTGGTACCTAACTTTAAAACCGAAAAAATTGAACTACAGTATGTAATTAAAAACCATCTTATATTATTCCTCGCTCTCAAAACTGTTTCCTTCTATCACTAGTTTGGTCTCCGCCACATCATTAGATCAACTTTTTCAGACTTTAAAATAGAAAAAAAGAGAACCAAATACATACTTTTTACATGTTTGAAAATATGATGAAGACAGAATGTTTTGGTCTGATATGACACAATATATCACACAAGAATACTTTTGCATTTATCTTTCTTTCTTTCTTCTTTATTTAGGAAACATTTTGAAACCAACACTTAAAAACAGCAAAGGGACAGGAATGTATTCCCTCTCAAATCTTCCTCTCATTGGCTTCTACTGTATTATTTTACTGATATTTTTTGATATGTGATGCCTTATTAATATCAGTATTGGTGCATTACTAGCGGCAGAACCAACGAATCTTTTGTTTATAGCCTGAAGATCCAAGAGTCGACTCGCCACAAGGAAACTCTGTCTCTGTCTCTCGCTCTGTCGCTCTCCATGCAGTCACTTGTGTGAAGTTGTTAATTACAAGTCTATGAATAAACAATTGCCTAAGGATTGGGTGACTGCTGTTATATTGGTTTATTTCTGTCTCTTCGGCGGATCGGCCTTTCTCTGAAACGGGCTCCGTGCTCATCCCACATCGGAATGTTTCATAATGACATAATAGCCTGACAAAAACATGCTATTATGAATTATGATTACAGACAGTGTTACTACTTTGACAATAGCAACAAACTGTTAGCTATGTTTGCTATGAATGCGCCTCAGTCCTCGTTCTACAGCCTGAGTCCTGGATATATAGCCTGTCCGTTCGAGTGAGTTTTTGAGTCGATCTACGAACAGTAAATCCGAGACATTTAACTAATTTATCAATATTTATGAATTTATTTATCATCTCACTCGCTAAGGACCAACGGCTCTTATTATCAGAATCAGAATAATTCTTATTGCCATGGTTAGTAACTGGAAGTCACAATTATGCAAAAGATTTTTACTTTTGTTACTTTCAGTAGGAACAAAGATTATTATGTATTAAACATAATCGGCAGAAAGTATTGTAATGTCCACTCTTTTATAATGTCTGATGATCATTTGAAATATTTATGTATGTGAAATAAAGTTGTGCAAATGATATAGAATCAAGATCAACTATTTGTAATGAGTTCATCCCAAATGTCATCTAACATCCAACTACATACGCTGCAATAAAAATAACATAAATTAAGGTAATACATGCTTGAATCAAGGGTTTTTTATCTTAATTTGAGCACATTTTGACTGTCTAAGATTTTCCAATGAGACAAGAAAAAATATCTTGTTTAAAAAAAGAAAAAAAGAAAAAAAAAGAAATTCAAAATCATGTTTTAAGACAGTCAGAATATACTCAAATATATGAGATATAAGATAAAACCCCTTGATTCCAGAATGTATCACCTGTTTTGCCTATTACTTTTTACAGTGTAGCTAATAATCATACAATGGAGAAATTATGATTCTTATTTATAGGAGCATCGAAAGCCTGGATATGACCTGGTATAATGTGTGTACAATCCTCAAAGCGTTTCTCTCTGTTCTGCTGCTCAAAAAAGCGGTGGATACAGGAGCAGATGTCTTTGGGGAGGAGCAGGAAGTGAGACAGAGAAAGAGGCATCACCATGACACAGACTTAAACACAGCCTCGTCCTGTCAGAGGGAAAGCAGAGGAGATAGAGATCGCGTGGTAACTGGCAACCCTGATCATCATGTGAAGAGCTGCCAAGACACACAGGCATTTCAAACATTCTTCACCCCATTTAAATGTTAGATGTTTAAATATAATAAAATAAGGATATGGTTGTTTTTCACAGTCTAGTCAGTGTATTTATAGAAATCAGAGGAAGGGCTGCACGTTTTGATCAAAATCTAAATTTTTGCAGCCAAATGTATGAAATTGGAAAGACTGCAATTATTTAAGTTCTTTCAAAACAACATATGGACCAAAGATCAACACAAAAACAACTTGACATTGTAGGATAATGTCACTTGATTTGAGTAAATTTGGAGAAGGTTAAAATGTTTTCATACTTTCATTTATTGTTTTTTTTGGTTGGGACAGTACATGTTCATGAACACATCTCTCCGGATTGTAGCCATGGACTAATTTGCATCCGTCGTCCCACATTCGCACTCACAAACACACACTCATTCACCCTGAACTATTGCACATGTTTTAAGTACGCAGATACGGGGAGAACATGCAAACTCCACTCAGAAAGACCCTGTTCCGACCGGGATTCAAACCTAGAACCTTCTTGCTGAGAGACGAGAGTGCTATCCACTCAGCCCACCGTGCCACCCTGTTTTTTCACATATTACATAAAGTGTCTCAATGCGTTGCACAAAAAAAGGAGAATAAATACTAAATTCAAGCAAGTATTTTAATATAAATTATTGCCAGGACCAAAGATAGCGTTAATAGTAATAACAGGAGAAACCAAGTGAACACAGCATGACCATATATTGTTTTTAGGAGAAGCAGTGAAAGCAGTCACTGTGTTAAGAATACAAGTGTTCTTTCAATTCAATTCAACTTGACAACTTTACAAAACTAGTCAATTTTGCCAAAACAGATCAGAGAATCAAATAGTTAAAACACAGGAAATGCAATGACAACAAGCACAGAGGAGCCATAAGAGGCGGATGACCAAAGTCTATATATGTCCATAAATGTTTGTTGAATGTTGAATGTTTTGGATCATTTATTCTTTAAAAGCTTAGCTGAAAGTGATCCATCATAAAACGTGTGTTTTAAAGGTCATGGTCAACGGCACATATACACCACACATATTTAAGTATTCACTCCCAAAGTTCTACACTATCTCCTCAGGATGAAAGTAATACACGTTCACATTTATGCCAAATATCTAATAATCAGAGGGGAAAAAACTGTCTAGCACCAGCTCAGTTAAAACACAAGATAAAAAATGACTTGAAACTCTAAGGTTTAAGTTTAGGAGCATCCCCAGAAAAGGCTCTGTCCCCTTTGGCTCGTACAAAGCGGGCCATTCAGAGACATAAGGAGGTTCTTCGACAAACAATACCACCTTAAATTGTGTTCTAAAAAATCAAGACAGA